ATTATTTCACTATTTGATGTTAACCATATTTGCACTTAAACTTTCAAATGTTTATAATCTAAATTAATTATATTTAAATTATTATTGTCGATTTACTATGTTGCATCATTTGATAATGATGACATTTTCAAATACACTTTATAAATGTAGTATAGATTATTTATAATAATAATAACAGTAAAATTTGTTACATTAATGCTGTTCAGTATTTGAGTACTTTCAAAGAATGTAATTCTCGGAAAATTATAATCTGCTAGCTCGCGAAATCATAAACATTAATTCCGAAATTTCTCGATCATTCTAAAGCCTTTGTTTGCGAACGTTCTTTAATGTTTATATAGTCTTCACATAGCAACGACGGTGGGAATCCTTCAACCTTCTAAAGCTTGCTTTCCTAGAATTCTCGAAACTTCTAAAGCTTTTGTCTCGGAGTCCTGTACAAATCTCTACATATCAACACATGTCCATTAGTTCCAGCTAACTAAACTATCGCGTGTATATGAAACAAACACGCGACAAGTCAAGGCGCTCTCTCTCTCTCTCTCTCTCTCTCTCTCTCTCTCTCTCTCTCTCTTAGTGAAAACGCCATGGCACAGAACATGGTCTGTTTAAGCAGGATCATCATCGAACAGTCGCTCTCTATTAGCAGAGCCGTCAAAGTGAACACGCCTTTCACTTCGTGTGTGTATTCGACGGGCTACTATTATATGAACCGCTAATGAGAGAATACGCTGTTACTAATAATGTTACTGCAGTCTGTCGTTGCATTCTGGAGCAAGGCTCTCACTTACCAGGGACGCTATAGTACCTACTTGATCTACCAAGAAGGAAACACGCTGTAATACAAGACATCACTACTTCTATTACTGCATTACGGATCAAGGCGCCACAACTTCTATATTATTTCTGTATAAAGACGTCACTACATTTTGTATTACTTCTGCATCAAGCATCATTACTTCTATTATTGTATTCTGGATCAAGGCGCCACAACTTCTGTGCTACGTCTGCTCCAAGATGCCACTGTACTCTAAATCTCGATGAGTGCCATAGTGCGCTGTATAAAAATTAATTCTACTAATCTGGCTCAGGAACCAAACGCGTAGAATTAACTGAGAAAATCACTAGATGTTGTGTGGGAGAATGTGTAGGCAAGTGGAAGGGTTAATGCGCTAATTCAATAATTAACACATATAATTCTTATTACTGTTCACATGTAATTCTTATTCCATTTATTTTCAATTTATTTCCAATTTAGAGATGATTAATCGTGATGAGATTACAAATAACCTTTATGTTTCTCAATAATAATGTGGCATTGTGATATACTTTTATTGGAGAATACTTGAGAGGTTAAATAGTTAAATAACAAATAGTTCTTAAATAGTTCGCTAACCCGGTTCCACTAGGAACCCCATCTTTTTTCCTGTATCCAATACTTGCAGCTTATCAAATTCAGTTTTAGAAGAAAAATACTCTATCATAGTACTGATTTGTTTATATGTATCTCCTTTTCAATTTGTCTTCTTATTTTTGTAATGAAAATGATCTTTTTCTTGTTTTTTTTTCAGCATTGACAAGTAGAAATTCTTCACTATTTAATCAAGGAAATAAAATAAAATATTAAATTTAATTTAATATTAATTTTTTACTATTATATATATATTCATAAAGTATATTAAAAGCATAATCGATATCATTAATTGCTAGAACAGAATATGTTTACATACTAATTAAAAATCGAGTAATGAAGATGTATAAAAATTAATTCTACGTATTCTTGGCAGTAAACAAGAAGATCGTTTAACTGCACCGGAAAATCATGAGCACGTTTTTAGATAAGCGAGAATAAATAAATTAACTATTCACGAGTGTTTTCCAGATGTATTGACCTTCTCAAGTGTCCAACGACCGTCGGAAGTTGGATCAATCTCGAAAGGAAATGACAAATATTTCTATATTTATTAAATATGTTGTATAATGCACAATAAGGAATTTTTAATTTATTTAATGTTAAAATTTTAACGAAGTTGGTTTGACTTTACTGTACACACATATTTCAATTATATGAATAATTGCAATATATCATTTTATAGTACATAGAAAGATGTATATAAATTTAAATTAATTATATAAATTAAATTTTAATATAAACTATATTTTTCTTGCAGTTATTGTGTTCGGGATTCAAGCATTTTCCAAGACCATTGACTCTCGGCATTGTTAATCCCTCTAGCTTCGAAGTTTCTGTAAATACTTGGGTACGAGAATTTTCGAGTACTTGTTATGTGTTGGTTTCAAATGGCCTGCAATGTTTATATAGTCTTCGAGTAGTAACGTCGCTTGGAATTCTTTAAATTTCTTAAGCCTTGTTTTTTCTAAGAATTATCGAAACATCTAGAGTTTTCTTTCTACGCCTCATGTAAGATTCCAGTATAGCAACAACGGTGCTTTGTTGCCAGCTAAGTAAGCTGCCATGCGGATATTTAAGGGCAGCACACTACGCCTAGGCGCTTATTGTAAATTATTCAGTCAAATAGCTACTCAGTCATGAGCCAGTCAGCTAAGACCCATTGGGCCAAGCAGAGTCAAGGAAGTGGCCGCAAGCCTTCCAATACGGACATTATATTTAATACTATTTCAACCCTCAAGTGTGAAATAACTTTAACGCAGTCAAGAGTGCTGACTGCATTACAAGAACGGACACGACTATAAGAAGTACAATATCTAGGCACTCATCGCAGGATCCGGCAAGGCAACTGAATCGCTGTGAGCACCAAGCCGCGAAGGGCACCTCTCATATACGTTACCATCGCATGGCATTACACGAAGACGTAATAGATATTTACGACCTCTTACTTTCAGTATAACAATTTACCACCAAGCACACTGTGTCAAGAGGATCCGGAGATTTACGACCTCCTACCTCTACATGTATTGCATTCTAACGTCACGTGGCAACTACCACCAACTTTAAGATCTCACAGATTTTCAACACCATCTTAGAATCATTATTATTGTGTAATTTGTAAAATAAAAGGCAATAAACAACACAAAAAACAGAGATGTTAAATATTGAATTCCAACCCGTGGTCTTAGTCTAAATCTAAACAAATTAATTGCAATTAAACTAAAATTAATTTTGTGGATTTTTCAGATTGCTTTGTATTACAATATAACAAATACAATAGTATAATTGTATGCATATAAACAATTGCATTTTTATTTAATGTTGTGTTTTTCTCATTTAGGGCAAGGCATTGCATTCTTTATCAAAGTTAAAAATTTTATTAATAAATTTATTGAATCAAGTTGTAAATATAAACATATAAATATCGTAAGATCATTTCCTCCTCTTTTGCATAAATATATTTATCTTTACTAAATGTTTTCGGTACAGGTTGGACGTCAATATTTTATATTAAAAACAACAGTGTCACGAAATTTCTTGCTGATGTTTAGGTTTAGATTTCAGTACGCAATTTTATATACTATTTCTTTTATCTTTTTTGTAAGTAAACGGAATGCTATAGGAATGTTGGATGATTCAAAGTACCAATAAAATTCTACGAATCAAAGAATAATCTACAATACAAAATTTACATAAAACTTGCTTTATTTAAATTAAAGAAGTTTTATTAGCGTTACTACAATTGTTAAACAATTTATGAATTTATATAAAATTTATCTTATAAACGAGAGTATAAAAAATAATATTAGTAATAACTTCCATTTAATTATCAATAAATTATTATAGAACTTTATATATCAATTAAATATTTCTTATAAAACAATCAATTCTTTTTTTATCGATAGATTCATTGTGTTATCATCAAAAATGTATTTAAGGCCAGAAGATAAAGAAAATTTGTATGGCTCTGTAAATCCAAATATATTTTTCAAAGAGGTCACCCTGAAATAATGTATTAATTAAAAATTTTTTATTATTTTGATCATTAATTAAAACAAAATACTATTTATAAATGTAAATAGCACTTTAAATACACATAATATATTTAATCATTTTAAATAAGTAATTTACATTATAAATTTATATTAAAGCTGTAAAAGAAATAATGAAATAAAAAAAATAAAGTTTTAAAAATTTGAATAAAAATAAAATTTCGTTTCATTACAATATACTGTATAATTCTTATTATTAATGCTTGAATTTTTAAATATAACAAAATAATAATGAATAATTAAGAAAATAATGAATGTATCTTAAAAACTATTCATAATGAAAATTTTCAAAGATCTTCTCATATTATATGTATTTTTTATTTTCATAAATGTTTTTTCTTAAAATCATAAAAGATAGTAATTTTTAGTACACCTAAAGGGAAAATAATAAACAAAGTTATTATCTATAATACTGATAAAATGTAATTATAATAAATTTTATATGAGAATTTTTAGATAGTCTAATAAAATTTTAATTTACATTAATACATTTATGTAAATTATTTATAATGTATGTAAAATGAAAAAAAAATTTTATTTTATGTAATATTAAAAAAACTATTAAATTAAAATTATAGTTTCTTTATAAAAAATTTAAGTTTATGTTCAACTTTGTGATCACATTAAAATTAATTAATACACAAGGTAAGGAAATTGGTCTTTGTATAGATATTATTTCTTATTCTTTTTGTTGTAAAAATCGTAATAGTAAATTAGCTTAAAGAAGTAAAATGGTTTATTTCTTATTTAGAATTTATCTTTCTTTATATACCTTTATACAATTTAATTTCAATGCTAAATAGATTAATATTTCACTTATAAATATACGCATTAAAAATTGATCAGTACAACTCTCATATGTAGATGACTTGCACAAATATTGATAATTATGTGTAATGGAGAGAAAAAAAAGAAAGAAGATTAACTACTTCAAAAACAGAAAGAAAAACGACTGTGAGATCAAGTAAAGTATAAAAATTGATTTATTTGCAAGAGTATGAATTTCTTAATAATTATGAATGAAATTTCTGGTCTGATATACATTTTATTACACTATTAATTTTAATTACATAAAGAAATAATTTTTTATTCCATACTCGATTTTGACCTAACCTGCTATCTTGGGTAGTGTAGTTCGATAATTTCAAAATTTAATCTTTTTTGAGCCGAGAAAAGATAAGATAATGACAAATACTGATCAAATATTGAAGTAAGTTCACATTTCTATGTTTACAAAATTATTATTTTAGTCTGTTTCTTACTATTTATGCTTATATATGATACCATATGCATATTGATATTTTACTTTGGCAAGAAAACATTATTGGATGTTTATTTGTTTTGACAGTAAATTAAATTCTTCAATAATGTCATAAATTATGATAATCTCATATTTTAAGTTTGTATTTTAATTTTATTGTATTTTCTCTTTTTTCCTGTATTATTTAATTTATATTTCACGAACTTAATTATAATTATATTTATTTCATCACAATTTTTTATATGCTGTTATTGTAAAACTTTACGAGAAAAAAGTTAATAGTGTTAATTGAACCAATTTAATTGTTAAAAAAGCTTAATTGATATTGCTTTTATTTTATAGATTGTACTTTGTTACATGGAATGTAGCTGCAAAATATCCAGAACAGGATCTTAGTCAATTATTAGGATTAAATCATTTTACTACATCTAATCAATTACCAGATATCTACATTATTGGGTAAATTATAAATGATTAAGATATATGGCATTGTGCGAAGGATAATTTAGTTCTTAACATTTATTATTCAGTCTTCAGGAGGTTAAGTCCCAGCCTCAAAATATTGTATTAGATATTTTTTTTGAGGATCCATGGACAAAATCATTTAGGTGACATATAAGTACAAATGAAATCTTAACAAAAAATTTTTAATTGATAGAAATTCTATTATATAATATGATTATTTTCAGAGAAATTTTGAAGGAATTTGATTATATAAAATTGAAAACACAACGATTACAGGGTCTTGTGCTAAATATATTTTGTCTGAGAAAACATTTAACTTATATAAGATCCATTGCTACTCAATATACTAAAACTGGATTTGGTGGGATGTGGGTAAGCACAACTTATAGAAAAAACACTTATTTTTTATTTGTAATATTTTTTTAAATAAATAAATATATATATATATATATATATGTATATATACATATATATAGGGAAATAAAGGTGCTATCAGTATAAGATTTAATCTTCACGGTGTTAATATATGTCTAATAAATGTTCATTTGACACCTCATGATCATCTATTAACTGATCGAATTGCAGATTATAATGCTATCATCAAAGAACATTTATATAATATTCCTAATACAACAAATATTTTTTTTCATGAGTATGTTGTGAATTTTAATTACAATTTTTTTATTGTATAAAATAATATCATTAAATTTACATTATTATTTTAGTTATATTTTTTGGTTTGGAGATCTTAATTTTAGATTAGCAGATGGCTTAACAGTAACAGATATTGATGTACTTATTAAAAAAAATCGCTTAGATATATTATTAGAGAAGGATCAATTAAGGCGTGTAATAGCTAATAATGATGCTTTTACTGGATTTTTTGAAGAAAAAATTACATTTCCACCAACTTATAAGTATGAATTTGGTTCCCAAGATTTTGATTTTAAGTAAGATTTTTTAAAGAAAAAGTTTACCACATTTTTTTGTTAATAAAATAAGTAAATTATAATTATAATTGTATTAATACATTAACATAATAAGTTTTAAAATATGACTATATTTATTTTATAAATGATAGCAAGAATATCGATATGGTATAAGATTAAGTAATATTAAAAATAAATATCCACAACTACTTGATTCCATAACACTTTTTATTGGGAACTTATATAGTATTAATTAATATTATTTCAGTATTGGATAAAAATTTTATTTATTTTCATGTAGACGTAGACCGTCTTGGACTGATAGAATTTTGTACAAAGTAAATCAAGATACTTACAGTGATATAAAATTAAAAGTTATACAAAATAATTACAGAAGTCATTGTAATTATGTACAATCTGATCATAAGCCAGTTACTGCTGATTTTGAAATTATAATAAGACCTCCTCTTTTTGAAAATGGCGTTGAATTTAGTTCAATAAGTATTTGGTATATTGACGAAGAAAATGCAGTTTCTTTCAAATTTTTGGGAAATGCAAAATGTTGTAATGGAGACTGGATTGGATTGTATCATGAAGGATTTTCTAGTTTAGATGAGTACATTGTTTATGAGTATATTAGACAAGGTAGGAATATATTTGATAAAAAAGATGTCTTATAATAAGATAGTAAATTAATTACCTGTCTACAGATTTTATAACTAATAACAATGTATTTTAAAAGAAAATATTTTTATTAATATTTTCATTGTCAGTAAAATTATTTTATTTAATCTTACCTTTTTTGTCCTCTGTATTATTATAGTGATATTATAGTGTAATTTTTTCATTCCTTATCGATTTAAAATTTTTTAAAGTAATTGTTTTTATATTATATTATTTCTTACCTATGATACAGTCAATTTCACCTAAAGTATAATTATAGTAAGTTGCTTTTGTATAAAATTTATTTATTTTTTATTGAACATTTTCTTTCGAAAGTAATATTATAATTGTACATACACAAATAATTTTCATGAAAATAGATTTGTTAAATAGTATTAAGTTAGAAATTAAATAGTTTGAAATAAGAGAGTGAATTTTAAAATTTGTGCAAAGTAATTTATTACATACGATTATATTATATCTCCCTTTTATACAGTGCCGTATAAAATATTATTTATTTGATGCCAATTTAATAACCATTTACTACTTATTCTTATTTGGTAAAGGTCTAGCAACTTTCTTCTACAGAATTTCAATTAATAAATAATATTTCTGTCTTCATCAAATACATAAGTATATACTTTAAAAAATAACTATTATAATAAAAATATATATAATCGCACCACACATTCATTTAATATAAACAGTGTATAAAATTTTCTAATGAAATTGAATACTTAGTATGTAAGACAAAAATCATTCTTCTAAAACTACAGATGTTAGATTTTTTACTTCAAGTTTTCCACTTTATTCATTATATTTTACACTAATAGAAATTATGATAAATACAGTAAAAAACTAAAAAATTTATATTTAGTACTATTTTTAACTTACATTAATTTCTCTTTGATTTTTTATTATAATCTTGCTCATATATCTTTGCGTTTTCATAACAAATTATTAATATTAAATATTCATATAAAATAATTAAAAAATTCAAATAAAATATCTAATATTTATATTAAACCTTCATGTATTACAGCTCGATTCAGGTACATGTGATAACTGTTATATAAAAAAATGTTGTGTAATTTCATATTTACTTTTTACTACTTTTTAAATTTTTTTAAAACAATAAATGTTTATAGTACATAAAAAGCATATATAGATCGAAATATTTTATGAATTTAATAATATAAAAATTAATTTTTTTTGTATATTTATAATAATTAATACTTATAATTATTATTAAATAAAACTTATAATTAAATTAAATAATTATTTTATTGACATTTATTTCGTATTTTATTTATTTCATAATTAGATGCATTATCTTTATTATCTATCTTCACATTTTTGTAATTTAAAAATGTATCTGTTATTTAATTTTAAAAAGAATTCTTGTCAGAATATTATTCAAATGCATTTAAACCAGTTTAAATTTAAAAGAAATAAAAATTGAAGTTTGCTGCTAAATTGCTTTATTCTTTATATATTATATTATCTAAATTATTTAATTATGTGGATATTTTTGAGTAAATCATAAAATTAATGTGATTATATTGTGTACTAATTACTTTTTATTATATTTGTATTAATTCCAAGCTCTTATAATTCATATCGGTTGTGTATAAATATAATTGTAGTGTTAATATAATTTACAAATATAATTTATAAAACTGTTAGTAATTAATAATTACTGCAATACTATAATAATTAATTACTATACACTTAAATTTTTTTGTAATATTGAGTGGTAATTTGAAATAAAATATGAATAAAAATAATAAGTTAAAATTGACTAATGTAATACACTATGACATCGTAATATTTAATAATTGTAAATCGATCCTACTAATTATGTTTTAAAATATCTTTTTAACATTTGATTTAAGTATTATTTATACTAATATGTTTTATTATAATTAAAAAAAAATTTTCACTTATATAGTTTTTAAATATTTACTAAATTTGCTATAGGCTAATGAAATACACAAATAATAAACTTTATCTGTTATTTCATTAAAAATAAAAGAAAACATTTTTCATTTATTTAATTAAATATATATGAATATATTTTCTAATTTTAATATATAAAACTGTTTAGGGAAGTTTGAAGCTGCAACAGAATCTGATCTAGATTTGGAAACAATTTATTTTAGTGATACTGCAATTCGTTCACCTGGGATGTATCGTTTGGCGTACATAGCCCAGCACGGTGATATTATAGAAATTTTGGGTATGAGTGTGGCATTTCCCGGATATCGACGACAAAGTTGATAAGTAAAATAGTTTGAATTTCTATTACAGTTATTATTTATTGACTCAAATATTTTGTTAAAAATTAGTCTACAAATGTTCCAAATTAGTTTCTCAAAATAAAACTGCAATTTCGTGTGATCTATGTACGAACATATTTTTGGTACCTAATTTTGTAAGCAACTATTATTTTGCAGACTATATTGATATTAGAATTTGCATAAAATTAGATAAATTATATGGTGCAATACTTAATTGTACCTGGAATAAATGTAGATTTAAAATTACATTTTTATAGAGTATAATGTATAAAAATCTAAGAAGTCTATTTTAAATAATAAGTCTAAATGAAAATAAATACTGTTGATTCTTATTATATTAATGTTTAATATTTATTCTCATAAAGAATAAGAGTTTCAAAAGAGAAATTTATTATCATTAAGGATAATAAAGTTGTAATGGTTTATCTCCTCTTTATTATAATATAAAGAAAGAATACACTTATTTTTTATTAAATAATAAAAAATTTTACTATAATTATTTTGTCTTAATATATATTATTTAAAAATATATGCTAATTATTGGGATATCATATTTTAAATTTGAAGTTTAATACAATATCAATTAAGATATTAGAATTACTATAATTATTTATTACTCAAGCATCTGAAGAAATGGCAATTATCAAAATTTTATTCAATTCTTTTTCAAAATGTATATAAATTTGCAGTATTTGTATGAACAAAACTTTATTGTTAATGAGGAATTAATGAAAACAAAAAGTCTAAAGTCTAAAGTATATGTATAAATAATTGAAATATTTTATTTTACTAAATTAAATCAAATTTAATAAATTATATAGAAAATGTAAGATGAATGATTAAGCTATTAATCCTTTAATATACATTTGATGTGTTTTATAATTAATGATTTATGCAAAATGCCTATTGAATAATATTTTTCATAAATCAATTGATATTTATGAATATTATAATAAGTGAATATTTCTATCATAAATGTTCAGTTATTTATTGTTTATTTAATGTATTTAAATATTTACTTATACTTATAAAATAATCAATATATATTTTCGTTATAATTTGTTTCATATATTATATATTATATTTTTTAATGTTAAAAAATATAAAATAAAGTTTATTATCAATTTATGAATATAATTTATTTACTATTTTTAATAGCTTAAATAAAATAAAAATTTTTATCTGTAGAATAAATTGATCGTTATTCTTAATATTAAACAAGTATGCATAATTATTATAAATGAAAGAAAAAGATAAATATTTATTTTGAAACATGAAATTGAGGTAATATTTAGTTTTAGAAATAGAGTAATAGAATTTGATACAAATTGTATTTTAAATTCTAATATTCTATAAAACAATATTATTAGTGTTTGAAGATAAAAAATTAATCGAAATTATTTTGGTAAACGTAAAATGGATATTTATTACTTAAAAATTTCTACGTATACATGAAATTAATAAATAGTGCAAATATGACAAATATTAATAAATTTACGATTTTTATATTTATTAATGAACTTAATAAAAATATTAATACTGTAATGTATAATTTTGTTAGTAAGAAAAAAATTTCAAATAAATAGTTTAATCAATACCTGTAATAAATATTCTGGTTACGTTTACCAAAATAATTTCGAACAATTTCGATTAACAAAAAGTCAAATTGAATTATACTCGTGATTGGGTAATTGAATTTTTTGAAGTCGAATAAAACACTTATTTAGTTTTATTATTAAAACTGAAAGAAAATTTGTTTTACGTTATCATTTGTATTTGTATTTGTATCATTATGTATGTTTTTTACTTATATCTAATACACGATATTGTCTAATTGACATTTGATTTTTATTGGTTACTCATTATCATAATGAATCAGTTTGTCATTAGTTGTTGGTTTAGTTATTGATTGAATAATAATGGACTAATTGAATAATAAATAACTATTTACGTATGTCGATCATTTTTGCATATCCAATAAAATAATGAGCATATTTGTGGTGTATTACATATTATTGTAATTTTGTTTTAGGTACATGTTCCCATATATGTTTGGAAATTTTTAATATTTTTGTTTTAAAAAAAAAAATAAAAATTGTTTTCAGATTGAAAATAATACTAGAACTATTGGTACCAAAGTTATATTTCATGCAAATTATTTTACTATTCAGTTGAAGCCAATGTATACAGAAAGAAAATATAATGAAGAGAAAATTGAAAATTTAAAAGTAAAAGACTAGTTCAATATTTAAGGTGTTTGTATACTTGTTTTGTTTTAAATATACTTATTAATAACTAAATAAATGTCATTGTTTATTATGTTAAACGAAAAATAAATCCTGTAATACCGAGACGCATAGCTAATTGATAATGTTTTTGTTTTTTAGTCGTTTCATTTTCTGCTTTACGCCTTAATTATTAGCATGGAATTAAAAAATAGTTTAAGCAATTTTTCATAAATTTCAATAATTAAGATTTTTATATAAATTAAAATGAAATATAAATAAAGAAATAATTAAATATATCAATGGATAAAACAATTGCAATGATCTATACTTGTAATATTATTATAGATGCTTACTTATTATTAATCTTTATATTTTATAATTCATATGGGTATCACTTCAGTTCACAATTCTTATATATAATTGCGAAAATTTTAATAGCCTTACTATCTTTACTATTTAAATAATTATAAAAAAATTTCGAACATATTTAATTTCAATAAATAAATGATTTATAATTATTTTATAATAATTATTGTTTTATTATTGTTTAATATATTCATTTTATTATTTATATTGTTTAATAATATTAATTCTAGTAATATTGTAAGTCGAAGTATTTTCTATTTTAACATAAACAATCATAATTTAATGCATTGAGAGGCAGTTTTAATATAACTTTAGTGTCTGATAAAATATTATTTTATTATTTATTCATAGTCGTATATATTTTTAATTTGGCATCTTCATTTTTAAAATGTAGTGATTACGATTATGGAAAGAATATAATTGTAATGTTTATAAAATTTAATAAAAAGCATGATAACCATCCAACTTTGAGCTACTGTACTATTTATTTTTTCATATTTCGTTGATATTTACTATATTACCTACCGTTTTTATTGAAAAAATTTCACGTTTGTATGTATCCTGATAAATTGTTTGTTAACTTAGTATAGTTAATATTTCGAATTTGACAGAGAATCATTATTATAAACTGATTTTGTGAGTCTAGTGACACAATAGATTTAATTTTACAAATTATATACTACGATTTATCAAAATTATTAATTACATTTTATCTTTAACAGTATTACTTCTATTTTCATATTATATGTGTACTCTAATGTGTATTTACATTAGAAATAAATGACAATGATATCAGATTAGAAGTAACCCTGTTTGAGAATGAGAGACTCTTTTTTTAATGCAATAAAACATCTGGCAAATAATATCGTGAAAATGGTATTTAAAACTTCAAAACTTTCCTGCTCATAATTATTTAGCACTAGTGTCATAAAACATCTGGAAAACTAGCGAAACGTGCTCATGCTCCTAGTGCAGTAGAACTTAATGGGTTTATTACCGGGAGAACCCCAAAGTAGATTCAGAACGAATATCAGATATGCGTAAAGCACTGAGTACGAAACATTTACCTAATTCACTGCAACCCAAAACCCGCACGAGCAACAACCTGCAATGACCATACGTGCGCACTAGGCCTTTAAGACAATGCTTGCATTGTTCTTGACTATGCCACATCTGGTCGATCGCATTGGAAAATTGACCACGCCCAAGCGGACCCTGCGTCTAGCCAAGTCCCAGAGAAGGATGAGGCAATCAAGGAGAGGTGACCAATGGAAAAGGCTCGCCACCTTCCGACACTTTCCCGATTATCAAATTCGTGACTGAGCCCGGAAGGAAGTGGAAATGAAGGCGTGCATAATCTATTGTGCGGCCCAAGATCAACCTCTGATTGGTTAATTAATAAAAGAAGAAGGGGTTCCAAGTGGAACGGGACCAGTGAACCATTTAAGAAGGGACAACGTAATGTACTTTTACTTATTCTTTTCTAACACTTCACAGAATTGAAGGATAAGTCACGACTTACTCTCACGGAGGAGGACCGGAGAGACAAGTCGTTTAGCTGAGTTTTAATAAGAAGTTCTTTCTACAATTGTGAATTAGTATACAGTTGAATTGCTCTCATCAAGACTAGATTGCATATGACCAGACCACTTGTGATCTCACTTGGAGACAAGGAAAGAACTTAGAGCTGCAATTATTGCAAGGGAACTTCACATCAAACCAACGAAGAGAGACTGGAAAATTCACGATACACTGCAAGTAAGTCCTTACAGCTAGTACTGATTCTTGATTTCTCGGCTTACGTAGAAAACGGACGGATTAAGGTCCGACTACCGAAGCTTCCCAGGCATACTCTAGGATAAGACCAGCTACAGACGCCACAGTGGCTTTTCAATCCCTCCAACGATAAGTTGTTCCCGCCACAGGTGGCGCACAGCTTCGCATAAGCTCTATTTAGGCTCTTATACGACCCATATTTAGAGGCAACTGCACACGTGTCGAGTTGAGACACAATAATATTGTAATGTTCGATCAGAGCACTACAATAACCATAACCTCTAAGTGATAATATTCAATAGATTATAACCTACTTCTTGTTACAGTATATCATAATCTCACCAGTGATATGCAGAGAATAAGAAATTGATTATCCTCTAATTCTCCAATAAACGGATATATCAACACCACAAGATTATTAAGAAATATAAAGATCATTTGTAATTTCACCAAGGTTAATGATTCCCATTGGAAATAAAGTAAAATAAATGAATTAAACAGCAATAAAAAAGATATGTGTTAATTATTGAATCAATGCATTAATCCTTTACTTGCCCGGCAACTCCACACAACATCTAGTGGGTTTTTTTGTTCTAAATTGATTTTTGCACAT